GATTCACTTTCTTTCGTCGTCGTCGACACACATTTGCCTGGCTTTGAGGCGCTTGCTTAAGTCCCCTTAAACAAGATGCATATTAACCAACAGAACCATTGGAATGACATCATTTTCTATTGGTACCAATCGTACCATTGGTACCAATGGACCATCGCAATTGGCCTGTACCCAGCCAGGTCACATGGGAATATAATCTAAGTCCCCTTAATGAGACGCACATTCACCAATAGAACCACTGGAATGACATCATTTTCTATTGGTACTAATCGTACCATTGGTACCGATGGACCATCGGTTTGACGAATCGTATCCGTTTGTGTATATTGGACATGTGTGTCTACAGCGCCCACTTTTTTCCTCCCGGCGGACAAAAAAGCCATTCATTGACTCTTTTTTAAACCCTCCTATACTACAATGGCTACTTTTTCCCTTCCCCAAGGTGGCCGTTGTAGGAAGGTTTTATGTACAGTTACAATAGCTCTTTTTTTATAACTTTGCATGTAATGTTGTCATTCATGGCTTTAAAAAACCGATCTCGAATGCCATCATTAAAGCTAATCTCCTGCAGTTATTCAAAATGATTTTATTCTAAGAATCTAATAGATAATTGATCCTAATTATTTTTAAATAATACTGCATTAAGTGGCTGCTACTCAGAGTATTAATCTCACTCCTGCCGAGGTGTTTGTATTTATCGACTCATTAAAAACGGGCTGAAAACGTTGTCTGACAATGGAATCACAGACAAAAGCAATTATGTCAATCAGCGGTTCAGAAAAACGGAATTAATCTGAATCGCGCATCAGGGCCAAGAAAAATCAAAATTACACGATTTATGAATTTCTTGCGTCATGAATATTTTCTTGAATCCTCGCGAGAAGGCGTGCTTAAATTTATAGCGGAGCTCTCGGGCGCGCAGCGCGCGCAGCGAAGTCCCACGGGTAAGAAAATTTGGTTATTTCGTAGCGTACGCCCGAACGACTGTCCGTACGAACTCTCCAGGAAGAGGTAAGTAGAAACGAAATTCCTCCCCTCTCCCCTTACTAGTTTTTACATTTGGGTTATTGAAGGTGTTAAGAATAGACTGTTTGATTTCTATCGTTTCAGGATCCATAAAGATCCTGAGAAAACCGAGTCGGACAAAATTTTATACGAAAGAACATTGACAGGGTATGTTGTTTTACTTGTACATTCGTAGTAATTATAATATCCTGTGATCTGAAATATCTTACAAAACTAAGTCTGAACTAGACGCCAAGTAACGCTAGTTTTTTTTTTCTGTGCCGGCGCCCTTAGCAGTACTTACGGTGGTTTCAACAAGAGGTATTGGTGATTTGTCTGTTTTATTTACGTGGCACTCCGAAACTGGGAACTTGCTCGAACGGGTCAGTAAAATTTCGATGAATCATTTTATGTCCAAAGTTTTATAAGATTGAACTGCCGTGTTCACTTCTCAGGCCTGTCTCATATTGCAAGGCATCTGCCATACACTTGTCGAAATGTCGTACGCTGTGCATTATATTCATATTCAGCTCTCTTCTGACAGAAGTTAATTGTTTTAAATTTCTAATTTTTTCATAACTTTTTTTTGCGCTTTTCTAAAAATGCTTTAATTTTCCGACTGCGCTGTAATTTGAATGGTTACCCCCCTCTCCCCGCGCTATTTCGAGGAATAGGCTGAGCCGGCAAAAATCACTCTTTCAAGAAAGACGACATGCAGAACAACATTTGCAAACATTCATGCTAGTTAAAACCTGGAACATTCTCTGCAGTAATTTCCTCTGTTTTTCTTTTTGGCATTAAATATTATTAATGAGTTTGAAAATAGCTTCATTTGAAAGACAAAAAAGTTCTGCCGTAGTAAATCCCCCTTAATAGGACGTCATTGAAACAAACAACAAACTAGGAAAAATTGAACAGAATTACTTGTAGTATTCTTTTGGTGTATGAACTACTAAATGGTTGCTGTTCAGTTCTTTAATTGCCCGTCATACATGAATTACACTAAACTTATCTACCCTTGTGTTATAAGCTTAGATGATCTTTTCGTCGTTCATGTGGTGATTTTGGTATGGCGTATTCAAATTTCAGGTGAGGCCTCTTATGGCAAGTACTCGTTCATTATTGCTAACACTCAGAAAGGAGCCTTTTAAAATCAAATTGAGATATTTAACGTAAACTATACTCACTGAGAAGCTAAATCAAATTTGTTGTATTCTCAACTAAAACTTTTCTGGTACATGTGGACACGTAATAGAGGGAGAGAAGAATGAACACTGCTCTGGTTTCCCCGCGAAATGACGAAACCAGTGGTGGAGTCGCTAAATGCTGGTGTTTTGTCAGCCTAGATCTTTTGCAAAATGTTGTTTAGAGGGTCCCCAACTGTCTTTTTTAAATCCCGTAATCCAATGGTTATTTTCGGTATCCCGAATCTCTCCCTCATTTTGCTTCAAAATCCCGGATCGCGGCCTTCAAATAAGGCAAATCCTGGATAACAAAAAACCTCTGGGGAGCTCACTGTTTAGCGTTGGTCAATGATGCTGCCAATTCGTCGCACAATTTATTTAAAAACTCTTCTCGTACTTACTCAGACTCACCTTCATGATCTTCTAATCTTTATACTGAACAGTTGAAATTTGTCAGTCCTATTTCAGTAATCAGTTCCTTGATACTGATGTTACAGCAAACAAATTATAAATTCTTGACAGGATTAGCTGGTAATGAAAAGTTTGCGGCCTGTTTACTCGATCAACACGCAACAGATTGTAGCACCATAAAATATCTTGATAAGAAACTCAGTCGCAGTTAGGATGAAATATCTTCATCAATCCCCCGGAAGGTTAAATCATGAGTTGGCTTAAACCCCATGTTATTAACAATGGATCATCAGTGAAAGAAATTACTAATGAAACATTGAGTAATAGAATGAATGATCAGCCCATATGTGTTTTTTTGAAACGATAAAATTTCTAGCTGCAGTCGTTGTTACCTTCAAATCTATTGCGAAGCTTTCTTCCGCAATATCGGCGCTATATATTTAACTGAAACTCGACTATACATTAAATATGCAAAAAAAAATTTCTAAAGCGAAAATTTTGTGGAGTGGCCATACCTCAGGACGATTGATGATTCAAGACCAAGAACAAGCAGCATGCTGGTGTTGGGGTAGGGTTATAACCGAAACCAAACTTTGCTGGATCATAAAATCTCTGTACGTGACCGCAAAATAATAATAAAAAAAAGCAATAAAAATAATAAGTGGTGCCGGATATCTTAAATGCCTGAATAAATAAATGTGTTGAAATTAAATTACACCGATTTGTCTGTTATTCTAATTCCACATATGATCAATGTGTTCGATATCACGTGTTCATGTCCGTTGCAGACCCCTCCCCCCCCCAAACGTAGAGATTAAAAGGATAGGGCAATTACTCACGAGGACCGGAACTTACGTACCAGACAGGAGGAAATTCTTACATATTCTTACTAAGAGAACTACTTGGGTACACCAACTTGGACGCCCGTAATGTTATGAGCGCACCCCTTCCCGCAGCCCCTACTAGGAGATGTTCCCCAGCCAAATTCAAGGGCACTAACCTTGGACGTTAAGCGCACGTGTATTGAAAAGAAGGTTGGTCGACAAAGGCTGAGAACCATCAACAACAACCTCTAAACCAAAAGGAATACTCTACATTGCACCTCTATCAACTGATGTATCTCATTTGCGTTTATATTTTAAACCCGAATGAACATATTTACATTCTTCGTGACGGAAATGTGAAGATTAGTTCCACCAAATGTAAATATTGTACTTTATTGCTACAATTTATTGGATTACCTTTTAGGTAGTAACAGCTCATGAAGCGCTATAATCCAAGTACAATTTTGATTCCAAAACTGGGCCTGTGGACGGCAATATTATAAGTCCTTTGTCAGGTATACTCTTGGCTAAAACTTTTAAAATGTAAATGTATTAAATAATTTATTGATACAAAATCTTTTGGTGGTATCAGCATTCGAAGCGCAATGTTGGCGGGTACAATTTTGACTCCAAAACTGAGTTGGTGGACGGTAATATTATGAGACTTTTGTCAGGTATACTCGTGGCCTACGAACTGTTTTTTTCCCACACACCATTAGAGACTTTAAAATGCTCTGAAGGTTAGGGCAAATTCTCATAGCGGAGCTCTCGCGCGCGAAGCGCGCGCAGCGGAGCACCATGGGTAAAGAAATGTGGTAAACTACCCATCCGAGATAATTTGGTAATCACGTGACCGTACACCGACCGCCCGCCCGACCGTCCGTCCGCACCACAGGCATACCAATGTAAAATAATTCAATCAACAGGTATGGCAACCAAAATGCAACTCAAGGTTTTATTTGGAAAGAAATCGCATGGCCGCCCGGACTTTTAGAAAGAAAAAACAACAACAAAGTCGTGTCTTTTTCGACGTTATTTGAGAGAAAGAGCTAGAGCGAGCGATTGAAAACAAAAAAAAACGAATTTTGTAGGAAGAAAAACATGAAAATTCAAAGCGGCTGTGAGAAAATGAGAAATGCTACCGGCCAGCAAGGTGAAAATGAGCGGCAGTGAAAAATAAAAGCGAAGAACACAGGAGACACAATATTGGGTAAGCACATACGACAATTCCTCCATAAAAATAATGTGTAACTAGGAAGTTTGGCGTTTTAGTCCTGCAAAACAGCGTTGTAGTTGTGCAAAACAACGCAAAAAAAGACAAAAAGCGTGCTGCACGTGCAAATTTGTTTTTTTTGCTAATTAGAAATAAGTGTGCTGCACGTGCAATTTGTTTTTTTGCTAATTAGATCTATTGATCTTGATGCCATTTTCATTGCCCTCCCCGTTTAGCATTACAAGATTTAATTTTGTTTTGTTTACAAGTATTATTAACCAGAGCTTCGCTTTTAGCCCTGGCTAAATCTATATATTAAAATTTTGATCAATTTGCAGCCATGAACAACACCACAACGTTGACATGTTCTTCAAGTGTTGTTTTGGTGTTGTCGCCGCGGCTTCTTTCATATTCAATTTCTTGTTCTGTGTCCCGCTTTTAAAGAGGCCTTCCATGTTGAAGAAAGGACACAATATTCTTTCGTTTAGCCTAGCGGCGGTTGATATGCTTACATGTGAGTTCCGTCAGTTCCCATACCCCAAGGGTAACCATACGCAAAAGGAACTTAGGCACAAATGTGTCAGCTCACTTTACTGGGTGATGTAGGCGGTCCGTATAATTGGGGTGACCTCAAAAGATTTGCAATTAGTCTTTGAGGCAAAATTTAATTTATTGCACAGTTCTTTTCACAGACTTCGTTTCATTTCATCATCAGCTGAGATTGAAATGGTTGTAAAGCCCGTCAGTTTCAATTGACCACGTGACGGTGCACAACATTCAATAGTTTTCCTATAATTTTGTTCTTATTGACCAATAAAAGACGTCGCGGAAAAGGATCGTGTACCGTCAGAGAGCCCCCAACATAAACTATCTTTGATGTTTGCCGCCTTTCATATCCAGTCTCGTCTGCTAAATGTGATTAAATGCATTTTGTTCTGGTTTCTTTTTTTTCTTTTCGGTTTTTTTTCTGGTTGCTACTCCAGGATACGTCATTTCTAAGTCCTCTTACCCAGCCCCCCCCCTCCCCGCGGAATAGGAAGGGAGACTCTGTCGTCTGCTAGATAACAGATATCCGCTGTTTGGAATGGGCAAAATATCCATTCTTCTCGTGGCCTGTCTTGCCATTGAGAGTTGGTAGTGCGTGCTAAAGCCTACTCAATACAGGCGACAGTTTAGCAAAAAGCGTATCATTATTTACGTTTTCATGTCGTTCATTACAACTTGTATTCTTTCAATGAATAAGTTCTTTGAAAACAGCCTAGCTGGCGATAAATGCGCTTCCCAAAAAGCTCCCCACGGAAGTAATGGAACAAGAGCTTTTGTCTTCGCCTAACTGGTTTTGTTAAATTCATGGATCGTTAAATTCAAAGCCACTTCTAAATGACTAACCACTAAGGTACCCTTTTCTTAGTGTAGGGTGTACTCTAATGAGTCCAACGAGACTCTGTTTAATAGAGTGTCACTCAATTTCTAGTCTATAGTCATTGTACGGTTATTATACAATTTTAAACATCTTTGCCGTATTATATATTAACATTTGCAAATATGTTGTGAAATGAATTCACGGTATGTGCTTGTGTTTTTTCTTTATCCAAGCTAGTACAGGCGTTAAAACGTGCCCATTCGCTTGGCTAATACTATTATTTGCTTTTATATTCATAGAGTATACTAGCGTGTTATTTATCAATATTATAAGGGAGTATTGAAACTTGTTTGGGGATTGACAATGTGATTGTGATTTTGATCATGCAAATTACAGCATTTAAAGCGATGTGGCGCGAAAATCAACATAACATTTGCTGGGTAAATAGTTTTCATGGTATATGACGCAAAAAGTCTGCGAGATTAGCGGGTAGCTTTACGGAATATAATGAAAACAGAAATGAAAAAAATAAATAAATAATGAAAAATTTAAAGTTCAATTTTCATTACTGTAGGTTTAATGCGTTTCGAACATCCCATTATTGCAACTGAACAAACAATACAGTTTGTCATTGCCAGTACCTCAATTATTACGAAAATCAATCATTATTTTCGCAGTTTACACTACTACATAAAAAGTTTCTGCAATTTGATTGCCTTTATAGAGCAGCGGTATTTCAGGTTAATTTGAGATACCTACATGTGAAAATTACAAACCTTTTGTGGGGTAGTAGTATAAACAAATAAAAGCATGATTTGTACGTGATATTTGGCATAAATACCACTCGTGATACATTTCAAAACTGTCCCAAATTTCACAATTTTTCAAATTGCGTATAACAATTTTGAAATATCTCTCGTGGTATTTATGTAAAATATCACTACAACTCATACTATTACCTATACTTATTTCTATCCTAACACTTCCTTTAAGTAATAAAGTGCGTCACTCAAGTTTTTGTCGTTAGATTATTCTCTGTTGTCGTTAGTCATTTATGGGTTTATTAAAACAGTTTTCAAAGTTTTTGATGTTTTACTAGTGAACGGTTTTGAAACAACAAGAAATCTTGTTGATTGGGGCTCACTTCAAAGAGCTTAATATGTGTTTCTGATTCGATCAGTCTAAAGATATTTGTAGTAGCCTTTAAAACACTGTCGACACTTTGCTCACAACAAAGAATATTGACAGTGGCATTTACAACCTTAATAACCCATAATCATGCGCAGTTTCTAGGCGACAAACTGTTTGCAAGTTTCATTAGTGTAAATGATGGTTCAATATAGAATATTCGAGTGAACGCAGTTTAGATTTCATTCTTCCATGACATGAGGAGGGAACAGATCTCAATGAAGTAGCTAGAAGTAATAAGACTTAGCTGCAGCTCTGCCCTTTGCAGAATAATTACAGCCTGTTCCTGTTATCTTTGATAGCTTTTTATAAGGAAAATTTGACAGCTTGTATAAGACTTCCATCAACAAATTCGAATCTCCTGAGGACCGCCTAGTGAAGCTTAACAACACAACAGGTAAGTACTACACGATTAATTTACTGTCGATTGTGTCAGTCGAGATCCCCGTGTATATACTACACTGAACAAACAGCAATGAAGAAATGTAAGGCTTAAATCTTTTATCACTCAGACATGTTAAAATCTTGATATTCTCAGCGGTCAAAAGTCTTTAGGCGAAAAACGTCGAGCACCTTAAACTTGCGCTCCTCTTTCGCGGTTTTTGCGCGTCTTTACATTTTTCTCGCTCGACCGTGCGTTCTAGGTTTTCTCAGCTCAGCTCGAGGAGAAGACCAATGACTGTATTAAACTATCAAGGTATCGCTCCTTTAGGAGTCATCTACGCATTTCTTATGTTCAGCCCCCCTGGACCAGGTCTTCTGGCAATTAGTAACAATCAGGGGCACCCAACGACAATTTTCGGAAAATATCTGTTCGGAAGACGATTTGAGATTTAGAATTTTCGGAGCATTTGTTGTAAAATTTCTTGCTTGCCTGCCTCTCCTAGGATTTTCGAACATCTAAAAAATGGTATAATTGCCTATTTTCAACGGATTTTTACCCTAAAAAGGTCACCTAGAATTTTCAGGATCCTTTTTTCTGGCTGGAATTTTCGAAAAGGTAAGTTTTGATCCCTGTAATTTTCAGATCATTAGACTTTCAGCTAGGAAATCCGAACAGATGAAAAATTTTGGGGGGATAAAAACATGCCTATATCTACCGTTTAAATACTAAAATACGTTTAACAATGCTATGTGTAAGTGGTTTTGAACTATATTCTCGTTGGGTGCCCTTGACCCAACGACAATTTTCGGAAGAATATCTGTTCGGAAGACGATTTGAGATCTAGAATTTTCGAAACATTTGTCTTGCTTGCCTGCCTCTCCTAGGATTTTCGAACATCCAAAAAATGGCATATTTGTCTATTTTTAACGGATTTTTACCCTAAAAAGGTCACCTAGAATTTTCGGAAGCCTTTTTTCTGGCTGAAATTTTCGAAAAGGTAAGTTTTGATCCCTGTAATTTTCGGATCACTAGACTTTCAGCTAGGAAATCCGAACAGATGAAAAATTTTTAGGGGATAAAAATATGCCTATATCTACCGTTTAAATACTAAAATACGTTTAACAATGCTATGTTTAAGTGGTTTTGAACTATATTCTCGTTGGGTGCCCCTGAACAATGAAACTCACAGGAAAGATCTCCTCCGAGATAGGTTACATTTAAGCTAACTCGAGATAGCCGTGAAGAGATCGATCATTCACAGCACAACAAACAATACAACACAGACATAATATTCATGAACATCGTTCAGGAAAAGAATTGAATTTGGAGTTGGCAAACTCAAAACGTTACGAATTATCTTTCAAGCACATAGTATTTTAAAAACAGCATGGATACTATTCTTGAAAAACTAACAGTATCAAAAATACGCCGTGAATTTCCTCAGCAGTCAACTCCTACTTTGTTCAAGAGCAACGTTTTCAAAATAGATTTAATCAAGAGACTCAAAACCTTTAAATCTTCGTAAAACTTTCATTTATTGCGTTTGCTTAGGAATACATCACAATATTACCCCTCATAAAAGGTATAATTTTCAGCCTTAATTTCAGACTCATAATTAGAATTAGCCTGAAATTCATCCGATTGCTTCGAGTCGTTTGCTCCTCTCAATTAAAGCAAATCATTAGGGCCATTTATACGAGGAAAAATAAGACGCGTCTTACATGAGACGCGTCTTAAATAAGACGCGAACTTTCTGTATAAACGGCACATTTCGTCCAAAATAAGACGCGGCTTAGCTAAGAAGCGTCTTATTAGATAAGACATGCTCGTATAAATGGTACAGTTCGCGTCTTATTTTTCCTCGTATAAATGGCCCTATTGTGTTTTTGAACTAAGTGTTCCGTGTATGTGTTTATTTCATTGCGTGATTGCGACCGAGTTTGATTATAGAATTTAGAACAACCGGTTCAGAGTTGTACTGCATGCAGTTGATAGAATTACAATTAAAAAAAAAATAAAGCAGTTCTGTATCATGCAAACATTTCCAAACGGCATTTCTCGGTTTGCCACTTGAAAATCGTGTTTTACTTTTTGCATGAATTAAAGCAAAGGTCAAGGAGTAGTGACGTCACTGGACGGCATTAACGGCCGGTCGATTCAGACGTTACTGAGGGAGTAATAAGGACTCGAAGAAATCGGATGAAATTCAGGATAAATTAGAATCAGATCGAAATTTGTATCAATCATAGCTTAAATCGGAGTTCAAAAGTTGTAAATTATCTTACATTTTGTGTATGGCTAGAGGAATAAGCCAAACGATTGTACTTTACCGTCATTACCAGGAGTTCACTGACATTGTTACTATTTTTAATCAAGAGGGTAATTGTTTCGCGTTTATATTCAACTCGAAATTACCCCTGTAGCGCACTTTTCATAACATGCTTCAAGCAGGTCGAAGCAAAAATGGAAGCTGACCTTCAAATGCATGTTTCAAGACCTAAGAGCCTCCGGGAGACACAGTGCACGCCTTTTCCCAAATAAAAAAGACGGAAAGGGAATCTGATACAACCCGAACTTTATACTGAAAAGCTTCCTCGCAAGATTTAAATCCTTACCATTAGAAAAGAAAACAAAACCCCGTTTGAACTCCCAAACAAATTCTTTATTTACACATTCTAGTAAGCGCGGGGGACACAGCTGCGGACACTTGTTTCATTCTAAGCCCCCTTAGGCAAACACAGCAAAGGATATAAATCTTGTTTTTTACTGCTACAGTTACTGAATATTACGAGCACTCAATTTTTTAGGGCACTGTTTTTTCCTCATTAATAGTTGTAACTATAATAATGTGAAAGGTGCAAACTGTCGAAAACGATTATCAGCCCTTAAACACATTGCAAAACAAACAAACGAAAAAATACCTGAAAAGCAGAAACTCCCTCAATCCCATTTTCTTATGGCCTATCCCTATATAAAATGGGTTTCTAAAATAGCAGAAGTTCAACGTTTAACTTTACGCGCGAATTAGACATGGTAAGAAAGGTCGCGCGTAAAACGTAAAATTTGAGCGCAGTTCACCTGCACGTTTTTCGTTCATGTGCGACCTTTCCAAAAGTGCCTCCATTTTATTTATGCGCGTAAATTTTACGTGTGCACACACGTAAAATATACGCGAGAGAAAGAAAAGAAAGAAAAGAAAGAAAGGATGACCCGCAATGTTATGAACATTCTTTTCCTAGCAACGAGGCCCGCGCGAATCCCCGCATGGACGACGACATATGCTGGTTAAGTTTGTTGTCTGTTCTCCTCTTTGTTCGAGAGGTTTGTATCTCTGATCATGACCACTCAGGTGTTTTTCTCTGTTCTCCCCAAAAACCAAAATTTCCAAATTTCTTTTCTATCTGATTCGATCAAGAACGGTTGAAGTCGGTCGCACGAATAACGATTATTATTATATAGTACTTCTAAATCATTATTTATTCCATTACTTATTTAGCAAAAAAAACTTGGAAGTGAACTCCAGAACCAGCACGCGCAATTCCCTTTTTATGAAAGCCAAATTAAAGTTCAGAAATTGAGAACGCCTTGATAGAAGTGGAATTTAAAAGTTCCCAAAATAACACAGCGGGGTTCAGTGTTACTTTCAATTTACATTACGAAAATTGTATTTAAAAATATTGTTTACCCTACCCTTAGGGTAATCAGTTACTGTAATTCTTTTTGGGGGAAAATCACAAAACATAATGGTCTTTTCCATAGAATTCTCCAGGAGAGAAAGGAAGAAAGATTCAGCAGCACATAACACGCATATATTTTAAAACACTCCATAAAAATTATACAGGTGCCTAAGAAAAAAAAGTAGTAGTCGATGCTTACATGCTTTCCATGTTTCATATTTTCGCCATTAATTTGTGTAAGGAACTAACTATATTTTTACTAAAACTTACCTCCTATAAAACCAATGGAAGAGCTCCTCAGATAAACAGGAACTGTAAATAATGATTCAAATGATTTGAGATTCTATCAGTTTTGTTCCGGATTTGCTCATCATGTGTTCTAGTTAGTGTATTCCCATAATATAGAACTTGAATTACACGCCTGCTTTTGCTCGCTGTCTTGATATTGAAGGTTAATTGCTTCAAGGAAACTGACAAATGTGAATGAATGCTTGTTTAATTTTTATGACACCGACGGAAACTATTGATAAGAAAAAACTTTGACCCGTTAAAAGGATAAAAGATAAACGAATCCTACCTTGAAAGTAAATCATATCATTATATGAACTCTGGGCTTAGCCAGCAATAACAGAATGTTTACTTTTAAATGTATTTCCTCTTAGACAAATATTTATGTTAGTATGACATATACACAAAATTCAATTTTTTTACAGAGGCGAGTACCTTGATTACCTTTAGATTAGGTTCATGGAAACCGTATAAATATAAAAACCAGCTGTACCACAACACGACAGACCTATCCTGCGAGCAGAGGTTTCTCTAGCACCCCAATTTTTCATCAGAACGCTATAAGCCGTTAAAAAGGGTAAACGGTTACAATCTCCTCATTATTATTAAAAATACTTTTTCATCTGATATTAAAACTAGGTACTACTCGTTTGTATGGTGGCAATCTAGCACTGTACATTAAACCTTATTCGCACTGACACAACTTTTAATTTCTTTTAGACTGACAAGTAGCCTTCTACAATAATGTATTCAGATAAATGATTTACTAGCACATCATTTCCAGGCCATTTGCGGTCTCCTCTGTCAATCTCCAGAGAAAATGGGTTTCTAATGGCGAACAAAAAACAAAACAAAAAAAAATCGAATGTAAATGATGGCTTGCGTCCAAAAAATTGTTGCCCCTATGTCGGCATTAACTTAGCTTCATTCATCAAGAATTGTTTAAAGTCTAGGCGTCTTTAACGGTGAATTACAGAAATGCTGTATATGATAATAACAAAATTTGTGATTTTTTATCTTTAATATCAATAATATCACCCGTGCTGATCTTTACCAATTACTGCTCATACTTTATACATATTTTTATGAAAGACAATATTCCCTTTCCAAAATCTGTAAAGTTAAATAACATTTCAATTCTGCAGACTCGATTACTTTTTCTTTGTTGCGTAGTTTAAAGCTGAAAGTCGTCCTTGAGTATACGATTTCTTTTCAGCCGCGTCAAAAACGAAAGAAAAAAGTACTATTGAAAAACTATATTAACAAGATAAGGGAAAAAAAAAACGTTTGATATAGCGTTCATTTTTTTTTCTTAAATGGGCAAATGTGAAAAGAGGAGTTGCTAGCAAACAAACGGATGAAACAAAAAAGGGACTAACTCCATTCTACCAGTTCAAAACTGACAGGTTCAGAAACATTCCTCTTGCCAGCAATTAACATCTAGTTATTAGTTACATTTATTTTTACATGCTTAGTGTACTAAAATACCTCCTTCAAACCTAACGTGTAGGCTTGTAAATAACCTAGCACTGAGTCTGATATTTATATTTGTATTGCACGGGAGTAACCACCCTCTCCTGCCCATTGTAGGGTACAATGCTACTAAAAAGAAAAAAAAAGATCTTGCTTGAAGGCTAGTCTCCTTGGCAGCCGTTTTTTTGGATGTCATTGCGGTCTGTGAAAGGACCTAAAAGGACTAACAGACGTATTTTGTGGCTGTGAAAGGTCAAGAAAATTTTCTGGCCTGGTGATTTAGGGTACCATTTGTCAATAAAAGGTACATGAAAGAGGTACCTTTTCTGACTAAAATGGTCTATTGGAAGAACCGGGAAAAGACCTGAGGGCGGAACCTCTGCGTATAAAATTTTGTTCAGTACCTCCTGGGACCCCTATAAGGTAAGTTGACCGGTTATTTTTGTAGGGGAGTGGATCGAGCCGGTTTCCCTCGACTTCAAGCTAGTTCCAGTTCTTGACAAAAATTCAAGACTTGCTATTTGAAAGGCTCACTTCTTGTTGTTTAACGATAATAACTTTCTTGGCGAGTTTGCAGAAACAGAAAAGCCGGATGAATTCTTCTCTGAATTCCCTATGATAATACCAGTATATAAAAGGATTTATACACGAGTTAACGAGCGAAACAACATTGAACGCTTTGTGGAACGGACTGCTAACGCTAGTGATACCAAACGGAGTTAAAGTGTAACTCAACTGGGCGGGAAGCCAACACAATGTGACCACAAAAGCTGTCAAAGCGCACATGTGCAGTACGAGCTTTTGCTGTCTTTCCCGGCGCTCACTCTGCGATGATTTGTCATTCAGATAAACAGGTGCACGAAACTTTATATGTGCAAAGGTAAGCCACGTGACGAAACACGGGATCACAAAAGTGCTGACACTTTTGACCGAAATGAATGCTTGTGCACCTTCTCTACCATAGGGAACATCAACAGGAACGCATTTATTTCCACTGAGTTTTTGCTCAAGAAATTTGTGACTTTGCAAAGCACAGCTAGCGATCCAAGAAACCACTATGTAAATTAAGAGTCTTTTTCTTCCAAAGTGTTTTTTGTACTCCATTGGTCTCATCACACAGTACCAGCGTTCCATGGCAAGACATGTGACCAGGAAAACAGATTCTTTGGCCACCAGAAAGAGGAGGTATCTATTTCCCAGCAGCGCGCAAAACAGCTGACCACCAAACCCGTCGGCTATTGGAAACAAGGGTTTATCCGAGACGTAACCAGGTGTTAAAATCAGGAAGGCTCCTGTCAAGAAAAAAATTAATTCAGGGTTGTTCAAACGCTGGACAGGGATATCTACTAGATATAAATCACGGCGGATAAGTATAAGTAAAACAATTGCCTCCGTTGAACAGTGATTTATCTGGGCCTGGTGTTTCAAACGATGGATAGCGCTATTCATCGGATATATAACAATTATTCTTCGAAGTGGAGGTGGCTATTGGCTATGGCGATCAAATCTCAAAGCTGTGAACTAAACTAATTCAATGCTTGACATATGTCTTCTAAAGATATGTACAGATATACCATACCATCCTTGGGTAAGACAAAAGTGCATTTAAATCAAAGCATACCGTACCTGTAAGTAAATCAGTCAAGGCCAAGTTAAACAGAAGAGAATTATGTGGCTTTTTTAGCATGGCACGTTTCTTTAAGAGCACTACACAGAAGGCAAGGTTGAACACAAAAGCACAGCTTGCGATTATACTGAAGGCAACTTCAAGAGCATTCTGTGATTGGCTAGCTCCTTGGTCCGTACCGGCACCTGATAGGTTGGTTTCTGGTTGGATGGTCCCTGAATCTGTCTCGGTCGGGGCTAGAGTCATAGTCTTTTTCTGCTCTCAAATATGATGTCACTCGCTTTTCATGAAGAAAGGACTGCAAAAGTAAGTACAACACTTAATTTAGTGAGGAATCGGATTTGCTGTAAGGAATATACTAGGTATATTGCTAGAAACTGTTTCTCAAATTTTGGCATCTATTATAAGAGGTTAAATCCGTTATCGTCTTCGATTTTTCCCCTTTTACAGAGAATCATTAACGGTTATAACCATTTTAAGTATCCTTCTACAACTCTGTACGATGGCCATATAATTTTAGTCAAATAAAACTGAATCCCAATGGAGTTATGTGCATTCCCAACGTCTGTCTAATTTGGCAAATACTTTTGATAGTATACGATAAAGACATTTTACAATTTTGCAAATTTCGTTCGTGCGTTTGGTATTATTTGCTATTCTTTTCATACAGTAACCATGGTCTCCTTGTATTGCGTCTCAGCAAGGTCATCTGAATTGCGTAGTATTTTGGATTGGATGAAATCTTGTTCGGGAAATCAGAAATCTGATTCTGATTTTCGGTGTATGGCAATAGCTCTGTATTTTGACCTTAGAGGGGTTAGATTGCTTTAATCATAACGACCATAATGAAAAAAGTAAGGAGAAATAAAGTAAAATATATATTTATCCATTATTCTAGCCTGAAAGCTCATGGAACATCGCATCATTGCAGCGGAAGAAAGTATTCAATTTGTTATTACCAATAACTTAATTATTAAAAAAAGATCAATCATTGCTTTAGCAATTTATTTTCTAGAATAACTTTTGCATTCTACAACAAATTTATAACTGATTTTGTTAAAGTCATGGGCCTTTTAATTCAAAGACACTTCTAAATGGCGAACCCTGAGCGAACCAGTAAGGTACCCGTTTTAAGTATGGGATGTACGCTAATGAGTCGTACGAGCGGCTATTATACAATTTTAAACGTCTTTGCCGTATTATATACTAATATTTACAAATTGTTGTGAAATGAATTCTCGTCATGTGCTTGTGTTTTTACCCCTCTTTACCCAAGCTAATACAGGCCTTAAAACGGGCCCATTAACTTTTATTTTCATACAGTAACCTTCTTGGTCTGGATGCTACATCAATACTGCCGCATACTAGCGTGTTATTTATCAAAGATTATAGGAGCATTGAAACTTGTTTGGGAATTGACAATCTGATTGTGATTTTGCCATGTAGTTAGCATTCATGGTATTTGACGCAAAAGGTCTGTAAGATTAGCGGGAAGCTTTAATCATAGCGAATATAATGAAAACAGAAATGAAAAAATATATAAATAATGAAAAATTTATAGTTCTCTTTTCATTACTCCGGATTTAGATTTAATGCGCATCGAACATCGCATTTGATTGCTACTGAACAAACAATACAGTTTGGTATTGCCAGTACCTCAATTATTACGAAAATCAATCATTATTGTCACAGTTTATTTCTATACTAAGACTTCCTTAATAACGTGCGTCTCTCACGTTTTTGTCGGTAGATTATTCTCTCTTGTCGTCAGTCATTTATGCGTTTATTAATACAGTTTTAAAAGTCTTTGTTGTTTTTACGTTTTTGAAACGTACTTGGCTGGCATTTGTTACAACATGAAATCTTGCTGATTCACTGGGGCTCCGTTTAGTGAGCTTAATATATGTTTCTGATTCGATCAGTCTAAAGATATTTGTGGTAGCTAATAAAAACACTGTCGACACTTTGCTCCCAACAAAGGATGTTGATATGTTACAACCTTAATAACCCATAATCATGCGAAGTTTCTAGGTGACAAACTGTTTGCAAGTTTCATTAGTGTGTATTAAGAAAACAAAAAGGACCGTATGTACGCGGCAAATTGTTCACTTATGCGATGGTTAAATATAGAATATTCGAGTGAACGCAGTTTAGATTTCACTCTTCCGCTGATGACATGAGGAGGGACCAGATCTTACCGAAGTAGCTAGAAGTCAGACTTAGCTGCAGCTTCGCGCTTTGCAGAATAATTACAGCCTGTTCCTGTTATCGTTGATAGCTTTTTATGACGAAAGTTTGAAAGCTTGTATAAGACTTCCATCAACAAATTTTAAACTCCTGAGGACCGCCTAGTGAAGTTTAACAGCACAACAGGTAAATACTACACGATTAATTTACTGTCGGTTGTGTCAGTCGAGATCCCCGTGTACTACACTGAACAAACAGCAATGAAGAAATGTAAGGCTTAAATATTTTATCACTCAGACATGTTAAAATCTTGATATTCTCAGCGGTCAAAAGTCTTCAGGCGAAAAACGTCGAGGACATTAAACTTATGCTCCTCTTTCGCGGTTTTCGCGCCTTGTCGCATTTTTCTCGCTCGACCGTGCGTTCTAGGTTTTCTGAGCTCAACTCAAGGAGAAGACCAATGACTGTGTTAAACTATCATGGTATCGCTCCGTTATGAGTCATCTACTTATTCCATAGAGAGTCAATCCCCCTCGACTATACGTTCTGACAATGAAACTAACAGGAAAGAGCCCATCCGAGATAAGTTACATTTAAGCTAACTCGAGATAACCGAAGAGGTCGATCATTCACAGCACAACAAACAATACAACACAAACATAATACATGTCAGTATTCAGGAACACCGTTCAGAAAAAAGAGGGAATTTGGAGTTTACAAACTCAAAACGTTACGAATTATCTTCCAAGCACATAGTATTAAACAGGATGGTTACTATTCTTCAAAAAGTTACAAAATTTAGGATTAAGTGTTCACTTAAGAACTTGCGTTAAAATTGATCCGTGAATTACATTACCAGTCAACTCGTACTTTGCTCGAGAGAAAACGTTTTCAAAATATATTTAGACGTCTCAATTTAAACCTTTAAATCCTCGTATAACTTTCATTTATCGCGTTTGCTCAGGACTACATGGCAATATTACCCCGCTCATATAAACTTGAATCTACGATTGTACATTATATAGAGTCCATACAGTGACATTATTATTATTATTATTATTATTATTTTTAATCAAGAGGAGAATTTTTCATTGCGCTAAGTTTCGAACTCGAAACTAACATTCACAGAGCACGTTTCATAAAATGCTTCAAACCGGTAGAAGCAGAAATAGAAGCTGACCTTCAAATGCATGTTTCAAGACCTCAGAGCCTCCGGGAGACACTGTGCACGCTTTTTCCTAAATAATAAAGACGGAAAGGGAATATACAACCCGAACTTTACACTGGAAAGCTTCCCCTCAAGATTCAAATCCTTACCCTTAGAAAAGAAAACAAAACCCCGTTTGAACTCCCAAACAAATTCTTTATTTACACACTCCAGTAAGCGCGGGGGACACAGCTGCGGACACTTGTTTCATTCTAAGCTCCCTTAGGCAAACACAGCAAAGGATATAAATCTTGCTGCACTGAACATTAAGGGCACTCAATTTTGTAAAGCACTAGTTTTTCCTCAATAACAGTTGCAACAATAATATTGTGAAAGGTGCAAACTCTCGTAAACGATTATCAACCCTTAAACACACAATGCAAACCAAAAAAAAAACATGATAAGCAGAAACCCCCTCTCAGCCCCATTTTCTTATGCTCTGTCCCTAACTAAAGTGGATGTCTAAAATAGTAGAGCTTCAACTTTCACGTTTAAGTGCAGTGAGGCAATGTATGAAAGGTCGCGCCTAAACGTAAAATTTGCGCGCAGTTCACCTTCACGTTTTACGTTCACGCGCGACCTCTTCAACAAGTGCCTTTATTTAATTTACGCGTGTAAAATTTACGTGTGCACGCGCGAAAAATATACGCGACAGTGGAAAACCACTTTAGAGAGAAAGGATGACCGGCAGTGTTAGGAGCACTCGTTTCCCAGCAACGAGGCGGGCACGCAAATCCCGGCATCGACGACATATGTTGGTTAAGTTTGTTCTTGGTTCTGCTCTTTGTTCCGAGTGGTTCTGATCTCCTCAAAGAGCAAACTTTCGAAATTCCTATTCGATCAAGAACGTTTGAGGATGGTCGCACGAATAACCACTCTCATTATATTAATAGTACCTCTAGATGCTAATCATTATTTATTCTATTACCTATTTATCATAAAAAACTTGGAAATGGACTCCAGAAATCCAGTTTAAGTTCAGAAATTGAGAACGCCCAGATAGAAGGGCCACAGCTATTAGGTGCTACCCTCCTTAAATAAAGGCTTTACTTACTTACTTACTTAGAAGAAACTCAGTGGGGTTCAGTGTTACTGCTTTTACTTTTAATAACGAAAATTATATTTAAAATACTGCTTACACTACCGTAAGGATAATCAGATGCTGTAATTATTTTTACCTGACAATCATATTGTAAACATAATGGTCTTTTACGTAGAAATCTCCAGGAGAGAAAGGAACTTAACAAGAAACATTTTACATGCAACACTCTATAAAAAAAATAAGCAGGTGCCTAAGAAATCTATAGTAGTCGAAGCTTACATGCTTTCTATGTTTTATATTTTCGCCATTAATTTGTGTAAGGAACTAAACTTTATTTTTACTAAAACTTACCTCCTATAAAACTAATGGGAAAGAGCTCCTTAGATATACAGAACTGCAAATGATGCTTCAAATGATTTGATATTCAGTTTTGTTCGCTTTGCTCATCTTATTGTTCGAGTTAGTGTGCTCCCACAACAAAGAACTTTAACTACACGCCTGCTCTATCACCCTATCTTAATTGCTTGAGGAAACTGACAGATGTGAATAAATACTTGTTCAATTTTTATGACACCGACGGAAACTGACCCGTTAAAAGGATAAACGATAAAAGAATCCTACCATGAAAATAAATCATATCATTATATGAACTCTGGGCTTAGCCAGCAATAACAGAACATTTACTTTTAAATGTATTGCCTCTTAGCCATATGACATATGCACAAAAAAATTGAAATTTTAAAGTAGGCAAATATCTCGTATAGAAGGTTTATGGAAACCGTGTAAATATAAAAACCAGCTGCACCATAGCATGACAGACCCCACCAGTTTTTCATCAGAAAGCTACAAGCCGTTAAAAAGGAAAACTTACAATCTCTTCATTATTGTAAAAAATACTTTTAATCTAATATTAAAAAAAATAGATATTACTCTTTGTGTGCGGGGAATCTAGCACTGTACATGAAACCTCATTTGCACCGACACAAATTTTAATTTCAAATCTCATCCTTTTAGGCTGACAAGTAGCCTTCTACAATAATGTTTCCAGATAAATGATTAACTAGCACGTCATTTCCGGGCCATTTGCAGTTTTCTCGGCAAATCTCCACAAAATGATTTTCTAATGGCGAAAAAAATGAGTAAAGCTGAATGTAAATAATGGTCTGCGTCCGAAAAATTGTTGCCCCTATGTAGGCATTAACTTTAATAGTTTCATTCATCATCTCGATGTCTTAAACTGTGAGTTACAGTAATGTTCTAACAATAACAACAATATTTGTGATGTTTTACCTTGTACTATCAGTAATATAACCCGTTCTGATCTTTACCAATTACTATTCATACATATACATATTTTTTATGAAAGACATTATTTCCTGTCCAAAATCTTGAAAGTTTAATGACATTTGAATTCTTCAGACTCGATTACTCTTTTTCTTTAGTACGAAGTTTAATTCACAGAATGTTGTCCTCGAGAATAACATTTCGCTTCACCCGCGTCAAAAAAGAAAAAAAAAAAGTACAATTGAAAAATAATATTAAAAAGATAAGAAAAAAAATCTTTGATAGCGTCTAGATTTCAGAAACATTTCTCTTGCAAGCAATTGACATTTAGTTATTAGTTACAATAAGTTTTACATTCTTAGTGTACTAAATACGCCCTTTAAAGCTATAAGTGTAGGCTTGTAAATAGCAGTAACACAGAGTCTGATATTTATATCTATTTTCGGAATGACGTTTGTGACTTTCTCCTACCCAGTGTAGGGTACAACGCTACTAAAAAATAAAATGACCTTGCTTGAAGGCTAGCTTTATCAGTAATTATACTCGATTGAGTCGCTTGTTTTCAACTCCCGTTGTGTAAGATTTATTGTTTTATAAATTTCTTTCTGAATTAATCACACGAATATTTGATCATACGAACTTTAAACCGAATGGTACAATAAAAAAATGAACTGGGCATGCTCTCGCTCTGCAACAAGACGAGAAACCACCAACTGGTGATCTGAGTACCTGTGCTTAGAACTGCTTGTTTTTAAAGTTGCTTTGAATTTTAATCACCGTTTGTTTATTTCACCTGTCGAAGTATTGCAGTCCGAAAACTGTTGTAGAAATGAATAGATACTTCTACTACCCTGCCGTGCGGCAATTTTTGACAGAGACTGTTACGAAATGAAATTGCAGCGTTTTCTCAAACTTTCAGCCTGTGGTGCCTTTTGGGATGTCACCTTCCTTAAATTAAACAAGTTAACGGTAAACGCAGATAAAGCTCTAGTGATGGTCGTCCCTTTGCAAGACTGTAGAGTTTTTTTTTGAATGTTTGAATAAAGTGTAAACAGAACGATCTAGGGGAGGAGTCCGACGGATCCGGGAACCCTCCTTATTTTTAGCCAAACTGATCCTACAGGGCCGAGAAAAAATATATTCGCGGTTGGGCCCCCTTTTTCTTAGGCTTTGGATAAGTAAGCTAGCGCTCACCACAAATGTAGAACCGAATCTTCCACTGATTCATAGTAGAAGCACTTTATTTACAAAAAGTAAAAACTAAGGTAATCATTTTATGCAGCATAGAGTCAAAACATGATGCAAGGTATCACTATGACGATGGAATAGTTTGGAGTTTTCCGTGTTGTATAAAGTAATGATGATGATTATATACATATACCACCATGAACAATAGCTTTCATGACAGTGATTTTTATCGTTAGACTGAATACAAGCATATGACAGTATAAAAACAAAGTGCAGAAAAAGGGTTTTCCGACCCTTGTTTAGGGTTAAGTCATTTTAGAACTGTCTTTTATCGTGTTAAACTGAAATTCGGAACAACCTGAATCAAGTTATGCTGTTGTATCATGTTCAGTTCCTTTGGCCATATTTTTGTATAAATATAGTAATTAGAAAGGTGGAGTAATCTAGGCCAAGACAATGAAGCTAAAATCTAGGCGGCTGGTCAGTTTCAACTTAGCAACTGAAATAAACGTGCCTACAAAATTTCAGTTAAATGCTCGCTTGATTTTCTTCTACGGTTGAATATTAGCGGAAAATATCAAAGGAGGGCAATGGCAACTTCTAACATTCTTCTAATCTTCGTAGAAATTACTAGAAAAAGCTTTTTTTGAACGAACAAAGCTAATGATTTTCTAGAACGTTTATCCGTTAAATAAAAATCTGTTTGAAGAAGCCCTTAAGTACCAACTTAGGCCCTGTCCACACGTACCCGGATGTTATTGAAAACGGGGATTTTTTATTTTATTTTCATGCATTTTATAAAATACGCGATTCAAACTTTTTCACCCTTCGTCGGGTTTACATAACTGTCGAGAATTTTACCAACCTCTCTCGTGTTTATATCAGGCTATGCAAATACAGGAAAAACGTTTTCTATAGCTTTTATAAATTAACTTTCCCGAAAAAAAAAAAAAAAAACTCTTTGGCACTGATTAAAGAGAAATTCTTACCAGTCGCGAATAATTATGCTTTCCAAAATATGGATTTTTCTCGCTTAAAATGTCAGCTAAAGCGAAAAGCATGTTTTGTAGAGATTTTCCAAGTCTCAGCCGACGAGGTGAATGGGTAAGTAAATTAAACTTGTCGAGTTCTTTACTCAAAAGCTTTTTCAAATTCGTGCTCGCCTGATTGGCGCGCGAAAAACAAAACATCTTGACCTACTCGCAACCATTGTCACAACCATATTTACATAAACTCATGAAACACGCCTCTAGGCCAATCAGAGCGTGCGTAGTGTCTTAGTTATTTTATAAACAATTATATTATAGAATGAGTAAAAGAATACTCAGAAGCAGGTTTGCAGTTAAATACAGTCGACTCCCGGTAACTGGAACCCTCTATAACTCGAACCTCGATCCCACTAACTCGAATCAGATCGTTTTCTATATTTACCCTCGACAACTCGAACTCCCGATAACTCGAACTTTTTTCTATTTCCCTTGAAGGTTCGAATTATCGGGAGTCGACTGTATCGACGAAAAAAAATGAAACTCTAGGCAAATTTAAGACGGATTTCAGCGCTGTCCCAAAGCTGACTTGCCTTATATAACATTGGATCAACTGGTATTATCAAGCGTTAGTGAGTGTAGCTAATGCAACCAAAAGGAAAAAATATAAAAAGAAATAATGACAACTACGGTCGAACTTTCCATAAGCAATTACCTAAAACTCCAACACTTAGTGATCGCTTACGGAAGGTGACTACCATGCACTGATCGCTTGTGAGAGGTCGGCGGGCTGGTCGGCGATGAGAGATAACACTCTATTAGCGTGATAGGCCCTGAAAGTAAACTGATTGTAACTTGGTGGTGACTTTGTTGGTGGCCAAACACCTGAATACCGCAAAGAAAAATAGGCACTAAGCCTCAAATATATACCGCATCTCGCAATATCGCAGTTCTAGATCTCTGGAGCATACTACCGCAAACCCTAATGTGACCCTCAAAATGGTCTTTGTTAGTTTTCCACGACAAAAATAAGTTTGTTTTCTTCCCTCTAACTGCGTGTTTCACTAAATTCTAATAAAATGATTGGAAGTTTTTAAACTGCGGACAATCAGATGGTCTTTGAGTATCAAGACGTGTCCCTGTTCATTTGGTTTACTGCTTCTTTTCCTTTCTGAATACCAACTTGTTATCGCATGTATAAATCGAATAACTAAAGGACCATTCTTTTAAAAGAGTACGAAAGAGAATAACTATAGATTTCAATCTTTTTACAAAATTTCCTTTTAGTTCACCATCAGTCCTATTATCAATTCATAGTTGTTCTTGGTCGATACAACATAAAGCAGGCAATGCACAATATTAAAGCTCCCTTTTCAGCCATCATTAATATCACCACTGCCATCATCAGTGTCGTCATTTTCATCAATTAGCCTCGCGCCAGAGGTAATTTAGCAGTTATATTCACCGGCTATCTTGTTCAATTCTTGGTAAATTATTTTTAGACACTTTATCAATAGCACCTGTCAAAAACCTTGGGCGTAGCGTGAGATTTTGGAGGTGACGCAAGGAAAGAAAAGTAAGAGTGCAGAAGTCGCTCCAAACTAGGGGAGTCTATAACACTGGACGAAAAAATGGATTTACTAGGGTAGCCAAATTACAGCAAATGTGTAGCAAATACCACATTTGCACAATTTTGCGCAAGAGCAAAGACTGATATTGCACTAGATTTGCTATCCGTAGCAATGACGGTAAATGCCACATTTGCACAGCATTTACATCTTGGTGCAAAGATAATGGGCAGCCATGGATTTGAGGGTCATTTGCAGATGGTTCAAATGTGTAGGCAAATATGTTTCTTTGAACTATATTTGCACATTACGCAAATGATAGCGCAAATCTGCTGTTTTGCACAGCTTTTGCTTTAGATGTAAAAGCATGTAAACCTGTTATTTTCAGAACGTTTACGCAGCTTTGCAAATGTGAGCGAAGTATCTAATTTGAACAATGT